CGCCCCTCTATAGCTGGGTTGTCTCCTCCAGCCTCCGTTATCCTGTGGGCAGGGGAGCAGAGGAAGGAGCTGTGCCAGGCACTTTGTGGGGGCAAAGTCCTCAGAAATTGGTCTCAGGTGGAAAGATCCCAATCCCTTTGGTGCCCTTTGACTACTGGGGAGACCACTGCCTGGCCTCTCACCCAGGGGGTCACCGAGGCCCCCACGCTGGTGCAGTCCCACTGGGCACAGAGCAAGGGCTGCATCTGTGGAAGGCAATCACAGCTTCTCTCTATGCCGAGGGTGGGTGTTGGCTGGCAGGGGCACGGGTGGGCATGGGGGTGCCAAGGCAGGCAGGCCAGGGCCCTGACCCCCCGCAGAGCAGCACTGAATCAAAAGCAAGAAGTTCGGCATGTGCTGCCCCCATGCACACACCCCCCACACGCGCATGCATGCGTCCTCCTGCAAAAGCCCAGCAGCTGGGATCCGCAGCACCCCGCGGTCCCGGCCCCGCACCTCGGGCCCGGCCAGAGGGAGGTCAATTGAGGCAGAGAGAGGGCAGCGGGTGTCTGTGCCCACTCCATCCTCCACCATGGGGGCTGTAGAGATGGGGGAAAAGTGGTGGGTCAGTGTACGGCAGCCCCCCACCCCCATTTCCCAAAGGAAGGGCTCCCCTCTCATGCCAGCATATCAGCTCAGACAGGGGATTTGCCAGACCTGCTGCTGCTGGGGCTTTGGGAAACTTCCCCGGAGAAGGAGGAGGATGAGCGAGCTGGAGTTCTGGGTCAGCGCTAGCAGGGGGCCAGCTCTCCAGGACCTGGACCAGGACAGACCGATCCAGCCCGGTACCTCTGCCCCGAGAAGCAACTTTGCTCACAGCCGCTCACATGCAGCTGATGCCAGCACGTGCCTGGGAGGATCCAGCCCCAGCTGTGCCCCGAGCTCAGGAGCAGGGGCGCGGGGGGAAATCACCCCAGACCCGCAGCTCCAAGCCCCCTTCCCTCCCAGACAGGGGCACGCTCTCTGATCACGATGCACCAGCGCTGGCTCTTGTGGCCCCTCCATTTTATATCCATCACCTCCCCTCAGCACCCCCCACCCACCCACATATTATCCCCCAAATCCTCTAGCAGCTTTTATTTGCCCCGTACCTGCGGGGTGCCTCGCGATGCAGGGGAAGTTGCCGTCGCCTCTCTGGCCCCACGTCCGAGGTCTCAGCAGAAGGAGGCTCCTTGCCCATGCACTGGCGAGAGCCCTGCTCTGTGCCTCCACCTGATCTGCCTGTGAATTGCTTCTCCTCCTCTCTTGTAGCAGCATGTGCCCCTCCTTGCGGGGAAGGCAGGGCCTTGATTGGCTCCACGCTCCGGCTCATTGGGGGAGGATGGCGTCAGTCAGCAGAGCTGCTACAGGTGGGGCTGGGGAAATCAGTCCTGGCTTGTGCCTGTCAAAGCTGCTGGGAGCTGGGTGCTGGGTGGGTGGCCGTCTGGCCGTGCTCCCTGCTTCTCCCGGGGCGCCGAGTCTCGCAGGTGCACCCCTCGCAGCCTGCCCGCACCCCGGAGGTGACGCTTTCCACCTGTGCCCGCCCGGGTCAGGGGCTGCTGTGCACTTACCTACCACTTACAGCCCCCGTGGTGGAGGATGGAGTGGGCACAGGCCAGCGTGCTACCAGCACCCGCGCTTTGTCCGTCCTTCTCTGCCTGGCGTCTCCCTCCCCTGCCTGGCTCTGGGCCTGGTCTCCTCCCACCCTGCCCGTGCCTGGAAAAGCCTCCCGGACCCCCCTCAACCGGCTGCCTCCTTGCTCTCCCGTGGGCCCAGCCGGCACCGACCCGGCTGCAGCCTGGTGGGGCACAGCGGGACTGACCCCTTGCTGGCGGCACCCCAGGTCGACTCAGAGCCTGGCTGATAGGGCGTGTGCCTGGCACCCCCTCCATCACGCTGGCACACAGCACCCCCTAAATTGCCCGTGCCCGGTACCAGCACGCGCCTAGCGAGACACGCGGGGTCAGCTCTCGGGGCTGCTCTGGGGTCGCTCCAGCGCTCTGGCCAGGGGTGTGGTGCAAAGCAAGCAGCATTTGCTGCTGCAGCCCTCCTCTGCCCTCCCCTCTCCTTATTGCTTTGCTGGTTGGTGGTTGATTCAGTGCTGCATCCTGACAGTCGCCGAGGGGGAGGTTAGGGGCAGCCGTGGGGGCTCGGCCCCTGGCGGTCTGCTCAGAGTAGGGACCGGTCACCGCCTATGCCCCCGGGAAGCAGCCTGCAGCTGAGAGCGGCTATGGCACAGATGGATCCCGACGGGCAGGGATGAGCTAGGATTCCTGGCAATAGCATGAGGCAGGGCCAGTAGTGCCTGCAGACCCTGGCCTGGCCTCAGGAAGACCCAAGGGCAGGAGAGCACTTGATCCCAGGCACAGGATTTGCAGCAGCCTGTTGCAGCCTGGCTGCCCCTCGGAGCCGTGGCGGGAGGCTGCTCTGTGCCAGGATGCACCGTGCCCATCTCACTGAAGGCACAGCCGCCAGCCCAGACAGGGGTTTGTGCCCACTTAGGGCTGGAGGGGAACATGTGGGGATGGGCTGCCCAAGAGGCATCTCTCCGGGCTGGTTGCAGCAGAGCCCAAACCCCTCTCTGACCACAAGGAGAAAAGCGCCTTGCAGAACAGGGGCAGGAGGGTGCCCAGCCTTCCTTCACGGGTGGCATGGGTCACTGAGCACGGCGTGAGGGACCACACCGCACGCCAAGCCCCGTCATGCCTGCCAGGCAGGGCGCTACCCAGCCCACGGGGTCTCCCCCTCCCAGGGGCCAGCCCGGCCAGCTGGATGCACAGGGCTGAGGCCTCACCTGGCGCCAAGGGATGAAGGGCAGAGGCGGTTTGTGGGGAAGAGCAGGGCTGTGCAGATGAAAGAGAGAGGGAGGGAGGGAGGGGAAAAAATGATTTCAGACACAAATGTGCATTGTTTCCATGGCAACAGCTGGCAGTGGAGGATGCTTTCCCGACCTGACTGTTCTCGCGGATGGTTGTTCCCGGGCTGCCGAGCCTGTTTGCACGGGGCTGTTCTGCCGCCGGCTTCACCCCTCCAGCGCACGGGGAGGGGAGGAAGCTGCTAAAGGGGTGGAGGAGACCACCGGGAGGTCCACTGGGTACTTCTCCCAAACGCGAGGCTGGCAGTGCCTCAGGCGAGGGCACTGATGCCCCTATGGCAGGTACCAGCTGGGGGGGGGGATGTCTAGGAGCTAAAGGCCCATTTGCTGCCCCAGAGGTCATTTTTGGGCCAAATCAGGACTTAGCACCCGCTGGAGAAACACTGCTCTGGACACGTGGGCCCTGGGGCCGTGCCAGGCAGGAGGACAGAGGTCTCTGCATTGTCTGGAGCCCGGGGGGCAGCCCCTGCTTTGAGCAGCTCCCAACCCGAGTTACTAAGGACAAAATTCGGAGACTCTGAAGCTCCGTGTCGGGGAACCGCTCATAAAGGATGATCCACTTTAAAGCAGTCGATGCTGCACTGGTCTGCAGGAGTCCATCGCCTGAGCTGCTCCGCACGGGGCTGGAGAAACCAGGAATATCCACCCGGCATTCATCTCCTTGCACATGGACAGATCACTTGGGAGCAGCTCTCTGGGCTGAAGTCGGGGTCTTTGGAGAAGGGACCCAGAGGGGAGACTCATGCCTAGACCTTCTCCCTCCGGGGGCAGGCCTCGGGGCTCCAGGTGTGATGGATCCCACCCTCCCTCGCCTGCCTCCCAGCAAGCTCCCCTCGCCGGAGAAAGGGCATCTGTTTAAACCACAGCAAACCGCCTTCTCTCTCAGGATTCTCTGAGGAAGTGAAAAATTAATGAGAGATTAATTGAATCCCTGTAACTGCTTGGCCCTGGGGAGGACAGAGCCCACCGCCCAGGGAGAGCAAGGATCCTCCTTGGCGGGCGCTGGCAATTAGCAGCACGCAGCCCTGGGGATGCCGTGCCAGCCACGCGTGGGCAGCGGCACACAGCCTGGGCGTGCTGCTCTTGGTGGGGACCAGGCCTGTCTCTAGTGTCTTGATGGGGCGCTGAGGGTTGAAGGTCTGGGCTTCAGCACTGGGCTGCCTCCTTCCCCGCATGGAAGTGCGAGGCTACAGTGACAGCCGTCTTTACTTACGCTTCACGCATCTTTGAACCAGCAGCCTGCGAGCAGCTCAGGGCACGGAGCCAGGACCCAAACAGGCTGCCTGGGTGTCGGGCCGCCCCCAGATGGCATAGGTCAAACGTGAAAGGAATAGGAATTAGACACCTAAACAGCGCCACTGCTTCTGAAAAATCCCCCTGGGTCTCTCTGCATGGCTAGGCCAGACCCTACTCTGGAAAAGCCCGTCCTGGGTGTTTAGCTGGAGGATCAGGGCTTAGGCACAGGAGACTGTTTTTGTGAGGCTGTCACTAAGAGTCCAGGCAGACGTCCTGGGGTTCATCCTAACCAGCTCTGCGGACACACCTGGGCATGCCACACCAGCCCAAAGGGAGCTGCCGTATGCTGTCACCCACTGATCTACCTGCGCTGCTCAGAAAGCCCATCCTGAACAGCCTCGAGGCACAGCTCCTTATCAGTCAGGATCTTCATTAACACTCAATCTGAAGGCCCCTTTCCAGTCCAAATTAAAGGCACCATCATTCAGGCTTCCCCCTCCCACCCCCCAATCCACTGCCCGGGCTTTGTTTTCTGACTTCTTCCTCCACGTTTTCTTCCCCTTCCATAGTTTCCTCCAATTTCCAGTTGGTCTAATAAAAGGTATCATTTTGGAACCAAGAGTTTTAGTTGTTTGTACATCGTTTCCTCCTGGCATCCCAGCAGCAAACCACGCAGACAGCCCCCACAGCCCCCTCTCTGGGACAGCTACAGACCGATGGATCACCCTGCAGCAGCCCAGCCAGGACCAGGGATTGATAGCTCACCAGTCTCTCTGGCACTGATAGGACAGAGCCCCTACCCACCCCCATGCGCTAAAGGGATGACCCCCAGCATCAGAGGATGCCAGAGGACCAACACACGGGGCTGAAGGGTGGGACGCTGTGCCTGTTACACTACGGTCCTACGAATGAGACCGAAAGACGGGTAGCCATGGGGAGGTAGCACTGAACATATTGCTGAGTTGCCCTGTGCCTCAGTTTCCCCACAGGAGGGAAGGGCACTGCAGGGGATTAATTCCCAGGGGTTACAAAGCTCTTTGGGCAGTCTCTTTGCTGCTTTGCACACATGCACATGCACACACACACATATGCACACCAAAGCCGCAGGCTCAGTTGCTCCGTACCTGCCACGGTGAAGTGACCTTTCCAGTCCTTCCCGCAGCAGGCCCTGTCCTGGCTCCAAGAGCAGGGCCGAGGCAGCCGGCTCTCCCGGCAGGTACTTCCCCAGCCCCGCACCCCAAACCAGCGCTTCAGCGACAGCCATTGCATCCCAGCATGGGCCCTGGCCTTTCCGAGAGCTCAGGTCCTGCCAGGGCTGGAAGCCAATGAGTCAGAGACTCTCGTTAACCCTTGAGCTGCCCTGGCTCAGTCCAGGTCCTGGTGAACAAACCACCCCGTCAGAGAACCAGCTGTTGTAATGGGCTCTGCCCAATTACCTCCGCAGCACAGCCAAAAGCTGTATGGCCCTGGACAGGAAACCTATCTAGCAGGGCACTCAGCGCAGCTGGCCAGGCACCTTGCCCAGACTGCAGGATGCCTGATGCCCAGGGAACACAGAGACATTCAGCTCCTCCGTGCCTCAGTTTTCCCCTTTGCAAAATCATTCCTGTTTATGTATTACAGTAGCCCCGGCACTCCATGGGGCTGGGGGCTGTAGAGACACAGCGAGGTGATGGCTCTTGCCTCTGGTACAAGGCAAGGGAAAAGAGGTGGATACAGCCCAACTGCTGGGGAAGCACAAGGAAACATAAGTATTGGGGCGTAATAGTAGGGGAAATTATTCCTGCCTAGCCTACCACAGACAGCTGCAGAAAGGCTAGTTCATTAATATTTGCAAACGGTTTTTTCCAGCTCCTCCGATGGCTCTGTGAAAGCATTTTGTTTTATTGGTTATTAATGGCCTTGTGCCAATGGTTATTAACTCATACTGCACCTTTCTAGCACACTACAACTCTTACGATGTTCACACCCAGTGAGGGAGAGGGAAGTTCATACATTTGTTCTTATAGTTACTGACTTAGTTGGTCATTTAAGGTTTATAGATAAGGGTGCTACTTAGGTCTACTCTACACTAAAAGGCACAGAATTTTGAGGGAACCGTTTTCGGTAGGAAAA